GATACAATATATATTAAATAAGAGTAGATAATAATATTTAGAAAAATGAATCAAACTTCAAGTTCTACTTTTAGTTGATAGGACTATAGTTCTCTACAAGATAACATGTCTCTGAGATATTCATGACATTCCTTAATGAACGACATCCATATGGAGAAACGTTCACAAATAGTTTTTCGCCATCTCCTAAGGGAGAACTACATAAAAATGACTTTCGGGATTTTCTTCAGATTTTTGTAATTCAGTCAAAAAATGTCATGGCGAGCTCAGAGACGTGACATTTTGAAAAGAATTACTTATTCTGTCGCTCCCATTTAATCAAAGCGAGCTTTTATTTTCGAATTCTGGATGCTAAAACACTAGATTTGGCGATTTTTAACTCGCTATTTGGGCTTGTTATGTGTGTTATCATTACGAAAAAAATTCAAAATTAAATTTGTATGCTCAATTTTTGAAACGATTGTGTTAGAGTCCTACAAAGTCATGACTTTTTAACTCGGAAGATGTTTTCTTTGTTTTTTTTTCTATTTCATGTTACTTGGTTATTGGATGGATAGTTTTCGTTTATTGGACGTTACAATTGTCAAAAATAAATGCTACATAATCCAAGAATAAAATTGGCTTTCTGAAGACCGATACAAAGCTCTAATACATTGATAAATTGAATCAATATAAACAAAATAATAACAATATTTTTACATTCAAAAAACCGATCACAAATATGACGAGAAGTTTTTTTGGTTTTTGAAAAAATTTTCAGTAAGAAAAAATATTAAAAAGAATAATAAACTAAAGATATTCACCTCATTATCATGATTAAAATAATTCTAAATATCAATCAGGAATAATAGTAAATGTCAACTTTAGGAGAAAGAATTATAACTGATGTTAATGATAGGATCGACAGGACAAATTACATGTTTAAAAGACTAATTATAAAACAAAGAAGAAATCATAAGCATAATAATTTTTATTTTTGTTATCATACAACTAGTGAATGATTTGATATTTTTTTATATGTACTTACAAAATATTCATAATAAAATAAGCAGTAAAATTTTAAAAATATATACACACTTATTGAACCTCATATCACTAATCTATTACGATGAAGTATTATTCGGTTTCTTTTTTTTTTTTTGTTTATTTTTAGAATCTCACGATAATAATAAAGTAACAAAATATGGAAACCTTTTTTTTTCTGTAAATGACATTTCGATGTCTCATATTGTTCGCATATAACAAATATTGAACTTGTCAATTATCTTCAACTATGATTGGTAAGTACACGAGCTTTCAATTCATTTTTTTGTTATGCGTAGGCGTTTGAGAATAACAGATTATCTATTGTATAAGAAAAGTGCTTACCATTTTCTTTTTCTTATATATAGATAATTGATGCTAAAAATTATTGAAGTAGACCAACTGATCGAAGTTCGAAAAAGACTCCCTGCGGTTACAAGATCATTAACTATAAGAATAAAACAATTCTTAAGAAAGAAAAGGACAAAAAAAAGGGGACAGAGAAAAAAAAAGAGAGAGAGAGAGGGAGAGAGAGAGAGATAGAGATAGAGCGCAAGAATAATAGCAAAATATAAAAAACTTCTTATATTCTCTTCATCTCTTTTCATATTCGGAAAAAATCTCATACAGACACATCTCTTCTCTTTTTGTGTCATTTATCTTTATCATACTATATCAATAAATAATGCCTCATCGTTTATCATTGACATTGATATTTTTTTCAATAATATTATTTCAAATTTCATATATTTATACAACTCCAATTATTTCTGGAACAACAACTCATATTATTGATGAAAATGACGATGAATATCAACATGCATACAATGGTTTTATTTATTATATTAAAAATATTCTTGATGAAAGAAATATATATGAACAAGCAACACTACTTAATCAATTACGTGAGTATCTTAATCGTATGTGTATTGCTGGAACTTTTGGACCATCACATGCTGATGCATGTCAACGTATAGCTGATGTTATTCATCAAACTTATATACATAATCATCGAAATGATGATGAAAACAATGATACATCCAATGAAACACACGGAATACAAAAACGTTTCTTTTGTAATGGTTTTATTGGTTGTAAAAATGTTTCTGGCTGACTGTTAAATAAACAATATGGTGTAAAAAAGAAGAAAAAAGTTAAACAATTAATTAAACGCGCACGAGAATATTATTGTGAAGTTTTATTTCGAAGAGATGCATAATAATAAAAAGAAATTAATCCTCGTGTGTTTTTTTTCTTTTTGTTTTTTTTTCTTTTTATTTATTTATTCATTATTGACAAAAGTATATTACTCTCACGAATACCACTTTCTAATGCACCATGAACAGTTGAATAGGCTCTTGCACTAGTTGCTTCACCAGCAAATTGTATTCTTGGAATCTAAAGAATGAAACAAAGAAAGAAAAAAAAAAGCATATTTTAATTCATCATTTTCTAATTATCATAAATGCATAAAAATTCATTTATATCAATATATCGATTTTCAATAACTAATTCCTGTCTAATAAAATTATTTTTGATGTTTTTCTTGATAGAATTAGGCGATTCATCACTATTATAAATACCATTACGGAATATAAAATATTCTGATTTTGTTTTTTTTTTCTATGAAAATTAGAGTCATACCCCGTCTGGTGCATAAGTAGCTCTTAATTGTTCTCCGTCTTTTGTCGATGATTTTATCGAATAATATGAATAAGATCCACGAATAAATTTGTTTTTATACCATTCACTTCTAAATATAATTCCAAAGGAACATAAAATTATAAGAGTCATATGATAATGAGAATGTTATGTTACTTTAGTACACGAATTAGTGGATTTAATTTGAAAGATATATTCAAATAATAACATAAAACTTCATGACAAATTTGACCAATAATATATTCACTAAGATCTTCTAATAAAACAGCAGCTGGACCACCAAACCAACAGATTAAAATAGGAATATTTGTTGATGGTAAAACTACATATCGATGAATTGCTTCAATAATAGTATTTATTAGTTGAATATCAATTTTTTCCGTCTTTAATAAGTTTTTCAATGAATTAGAAAATTCAATTGACTTTTGTTTTTGTGCTTGCAATAGAATAATATCGCCAACATTTTCCGGCCAAAACAATTTTTCATAGATCATTATGACCTAAAGAAAAATTTTTGAAATTCTATATTTTTTAATAAATAATTATTTTACTTTATTTATTACATCAAATCCAAGATTATTAATTGCATCTTGTTTTTGTTCAATAAGTTCAATTTCATCAACAAATATTGAAGAAAAATTTTCTTTTAAATAACCTAATGAACTAGTCCATATGATATGATCACATAATATTGCACTTATTGGTTGTTGTTGTTCCGATGTTTTATCATGATGTCGAATATTAACAAGTAATTGATGATTTTCTTTAAGATATTTTACTCGAATTACTTCAGAATTTAAACGAATTCGATTATCATCTGGTATAAATGATTTCATATAGGATATGAATGGACGATAACCACCATTTTTAAACTCAATTTCATATAATCCATTGAGATATTCATATGATCCATATTCTAAATAGAAAATGTAATTTATATATATATATATAAAATTAAACAATCTATTCTACCTGCTAAACTTAAATCAGATAATTTAAAACAACCATTTTCAATAAGTTCACCTTTATTGAAAAAATCACAAAATGCATCAACTAAATTGTCTAAAGAAGGTATTGCAGATAATAAACGTTGTTTCAAATGTTCGAGAAGATAATCCGACAATGGATAATTTTTTGGTATTGTTGTATCACCAAATATAGATCGAGCTTCATCAAGTAATTCTTCCCATACAATTAGAACTTGTCTTATTATTTCTGGATCAACTATAGTTCGATCAGATGTTATAGCAAGTATTTCTATATAAACAACAACAACAAAAAAAAAAAAAAGAAAAAGAAAATACACAATAATAGAGATTATATTTAATTAATCAATTTTAGAATTTTTCTTTTCGTCATTATTCAATTATTTCTCGAAACAAAACATACCATTACTTTTAATATCTGTAACAGGTAAAATACAATCCAATGATTTACAAATTTCATAAAGAAGATTATTTGTTTCTCCATGAATAAATTGTGCACCCTATTAATATTATTACTAACATTAAGAATATGACAAAAATAAAAAATAATTATTCGTTGTTTACCAAATCAACAGTAACATTCGGAACTGTTTTTGAAATCATAGAAATTAATAATAATTATTTGAAATATAAAAATAGAAAAACAAAAATAACCTGCATCAATTGTACGAATACGACCACCTATATAATTTTGTGCTTCAATGAGTAAATA